CGCAAAACCGCTGCCACCAGGTCCGTCATGCGAATCGTCTTTAGAACTTTCAATTTGCCTGTCTCAAGATGCCTCTCTGAATACTTCAATCAGAGCCACTGAGTCCGAATATCAACGTAGCCATCAGCTTTCCAGAAGAGCATACCTGAACGCTTCTACGCGTTAAGCTGAAACTACTGATCAAACGGCTGAGGAGAAACGCCTCTTCAACGTGAGGCTGAAACAAGATTGAGAAAGCAAAAACGGCCCTTTTCAGTTCCCCCCATTCAAATTGTTAACCCCCTATTTGGGGATGTGCTTGAGTTGCACCCAATTGTTGTTACTAATATTAATTTTCAGATGGGCTGACTTTAAACTTAAACTACTCCAACTGAACGGTAAAAATTCCCAGTAATGAAAGACCCGGTCGAATACGGGTTATACTGCTAGTCTATAGTAAGGTATAGTATAGTTTTATACGGGGTCTACGGGAAATTTTTGGCCGAACCTATGGGCTCGGATACCCCACATTAAACTCGGCCTTGTGCCACATCTTGCCTCGTGGGGAGGCTGGTAAATATCGACCAGCTGGATCTTTTCCAGCTGTGCTGGTTAAATTCTCTGCCTCGAGGCAGAGAGGATCCCCAGACAAGGCGATATCGAAGGGCAGAGTTTCGTCTCCGGAAACAGCTACCCGATCACGATTTTTATAGGGTCTACAGGCCTAACCTACGGACTAGAATACCCCACAATAAATTCGGTTTTATGCCACATCTGAGCGCGTGGAGCGGTTGGTAGATATCCTAGAGTTGGAGATTCATTGTGGAATTCACTTGACTCAGTCCTAATATTTGGCTACTTCTACGCACCGCTGTCGAATCTTATATGTGTTGTTCTTGTCTTAAGTATTATTGTTCATTACCAACCTTCGTTTGATTATTCTATTCAGTAACCTTCCCTAGGTTACAACACATACCATACCTGAAATCACTTCCTCAGACCGATAACATGAAGAAGTCACCTTCAACAACCATGGTGAGATTCGAACTCATGGTTGGAAAGTGATCATTATAATCACTCGGCAACTATCTATCTGTGCGTGTGTGCGTACGTGTAATCAACAACATCATTTTCTCACTTTCATTTATTAGACATTAAATTACGTCGCTTAGCATCCTCCATAATTTACCGGGATTTTTCAGTTAATCTAATGAATATTTATGACGGTCTCTTAAATTTAAAAACTTTTAAAACTTATCATTTTTACTTTTCTTTATAAATACTTTTTGCAAAATAAAATCCTCACATTTGCCTTGATAAAGTCGGTCACGAAACGCGTTGGCTAAGTTTTCCTTTTGTCTTTATTCATATTGTCCTTTTATACATGCAATTGTAGTTATATCTGATTTTTTTTTTTTTTGCACACACACAGACATAGATAGATAGATAGATAGATAGATAGATAGACCATTGATTTATTTTTACCCTTTTGTGTATCTTCATTTTGATCTCTTTAGCACCTAGTAATTTTAGTGTCTATAAATCTGTCCACTTATCTGTCAAATCATAACCCTCAGCCTACATAATCATTAAAGGATTCTTTTCATAATACTGTAATATCATACAGCGACTTAAGATTGTGCAAAATGGCATAAAACACTTCAAAGTATCGATTGCATTGATAAAGGCCAATAATTTGAAGTTTAGATGACACAGTCGCAATAATATAAAGACAGATTAAATTATGAGCTGCGATCTTTGAGCCTCTTATACATTCTAGAGAATCCAATATCAACTTCTATGGTTCCAGAAGCGTATCAACAGAAATACATAGGAGATTGTCTATGCATTTGATTATCAGATAACAACTATCTTAATATGTAGATATTATATGTAGACCGAAAATAAATATTAAAAAATAATACATCCAAACACTCATCATAGAGGGAAAGTCTATTCTTATTTAACTTTTCAATTAGAATGGGGGATTATTAATCTACATAACCTCGAATCAATGGTTATTTAACAAAAAAAGTTTAGAGTCTCTAAATACATCTCCATTTCAGAAACCAAATGTGCTGGGTTGGATAGGTCAGGGTAATGGGAGGCCAAAGAAAAACGAAGTCAGTTTGAGGTGGGGACTTTAATAAGATGCTACAGTGAACAACCTTTATTTAAACCCTTGAGAATGGCGACTTTGTGTTTCAAATAAAATAACACAAAAGGAAAACAAACCAAAAAAAATTTCTTCATTAAATTCGCTATTCGGCGTACTACGAAATAAATCTACCTATATAAACCAATCCGAAAATGATTTCACTTTTTATTCATGATTGATTGATGGACTATTTTCATATTGAAGTGATACAATTCCGTAATTAACATAAAAAAATATTTGCTAAAGAATGTCTCCAAGCCTTTAGCAACATTAAATATCATAACATAAAAATAGCCTCTTAATTAAACATCATAAAACAGATAAATGCCAGCTTAATTGTGGTATCCAGTAGATCTTTAAAAACACCGCGTCCTATTTATTTCAAAATATATCCATAAAAATTGTTATATCATTAAATAGTACTTGCTCACTGGGACAATACTTTTCATGTAATGTAGCTTAATATATATAAACATTTTTTCATATTTATGAGTATATTACTTTCTGTGCCACGGAAGTGAAAAAATGTTGGACATGCCATTCCACCTAACAAATATCCATATTTTGAGCAGTTATTTCCTGGGTCAAAGCTATATTCTTTCATATCAACTTTTCGATTAAGCGATTTTTTTTAATCGTTATGAATATGGTGGTTCAAGGCGGTAAAAGCCAAAAACCCAATTGTTTTTACAAGGGTGTGTAATAATTACGGAACAGAAACATTAATAATGAGCAATAAAGAGAAAAAAGAGTTAATCATAAGGACAGTAGATGTTTGTGATTGACGTTGTATTGTGTTTTTTCAGTTTATAGTTGGCTGGATAACATGGAACCGGAAGGGAGTTCCACAAGCGGGACGTGCGAGAAAAGAAACTGTTAGCATATAAATTACGGCAACATCTAGCCAGCCAAATTGATGAGACCTCGCCGCCCATCTAGTACTGCGCTTAAATTCCAAAAGCCTAGGTACCATAACGAAGAAATCATCCGAACAATTGCCATGAAAATATTTATAGAAAAGACACAGAGAAGCAACCTTACAGCGGTGGGAAAGTGACTGAAGCCGAGAACACAGATCAAGACAAATAATATTTTTCAGTCTTTTTGGATTTTATATAAGAATCTATCGATAAATACATGGGGACCCAGACCATATGTTGCAGAAATATTCTATCAATGAAAAATAGGTTTATAATAATATATTTAAATATTGCTGATTAATGTCATTTTGGATCTTAAATAAAAATTCAATGTGTTGTGACAATTTTTAAAATCAACAGGTTTATCTTGTTAATGGATTAATAACTTTAACATATCAGGATTATAGATATTGCTGATTCTTATTTTTGGATTTTATCAAAGGAGATCATGAAGGTATGTTTAGCATGGCATGGACCATATGTGGCAGCAATATTCTAAGCATAATGGATGAACTACGTCCAATGGCAGGGTTTATAGATCAGGACCAATAATATTGCTGATTGGAACCATTTTGGATCTTATCAAAAATCTCAGGGTAAATAACAGGGGCACCGGACCATATGTATCAGCAATATTCTAAGCCCAAATGAACAGTACACTTATAGATATATAAGAGGTTTTAATATATCAAAAATGGATTCTTTCCACTTCATGTTTTTGAAGAAAAAAAAAAAAAATACCAACAATAAAATTTTCCTGAAGGTTAGCATCAGCCATGCTGATGAAAGGTAGAGATGGGCCTCTCAGATGATTAATGGAGAAAGGTTTAATTTTGGAGACAAGCCATCTTTTGCTTCAGTTAACGATGGACTTGAGATCGTTTTAGACATCGGCTGCCATTTTGACTCTGTCGGACTGATAAGCCTTACTCGTTTTGTTTTTTCATTGTGAAAGTTTTCAATAACATTTTAGATAGAATTAAAATGTGTGAAGTTGAGACTTTGTCTTTATTAAGCAGATTGATTTTCATGTGAGTTTGTGGTAAATTCTGCTCGTTTTTTCTCCTTTGATCTACTGTTAAGTTATTAAGGTGACGTATAGCTTCATCAAATGCTGCTGAAATATAGTTATCCAGTTTTTCCTAAGTGAAATATTTTACTGCTTATGGTAGTATGGCAATCTTTCCATTTCAGTGTTTAAAAACATTTAATTAAAAAACTGGAACACCTTCAGTAAAATAGACTGATTGAATTGCTGATTGTTTCAAATATGATACTGAGTTGAATAGTAAAATCGAAATTTGAAAAAAAAAATAAAAAGTCTGCGACATAACCTTTATTGAAAACTTCGATTACTGGGTTTAAAATGGCAAAATAAATTTAAAGTATTCTTTTTATAATTCGAAATGTATTCCGTTAACGGAAATTTAAAAAAAAGGCGAAAATAGATAAGAAAATATCAAAACATGGAAAAATGAATTTAAATCATTTTAAAATTAAAATCGAAAAACAAATTTTATAGTTTTCAAAAACAAAATCTATCGTTTGAATCGAGACAGCTATTTAAAAATATCTCGGAAAAATTCCAATATATCTGTGAACTTTTTTTCATGGGTATTATTAATAAAAAATAATAATTGCACATACATGACTCTCATAACATTGTCTTAAAAAACTTTATTGATCGATTCGTTTTTTATGGCTTATAAACCCTTAAAGCCAGAAAATATTTGTTAAATTGTAAGAATTTAAAAAAAATAATAATGTTTTTGTGATACAAGTCTTACTAACTAACCCATAACTGGGAAAGTAGACATGGTTTCCTAAATTTCCCAAAGGTATTTTCGCATAAGTCAATACAACGAAACCAACGCGAATTGAAACTCGGTTCTTCGATTAAAACTCTGAGCCGTTATCCATTACACCACCCACACATCCAAATTTACAGTACATAGTATTCCCAAGCGGTCACCTATCTAAGTACTGATCAAGCTCGACGTTGCTTAACTACGGCGATCGTATGGGAACCAATGTTTCAACGTGATATGGCTGTAGGCCTTTAACGAAGACATTTCTTCATTAGACTTGCGCGATGGAAACAAAGATAACAAGCTTTATCAAATAACAAAAAGCACATCACTTGAAGACTTGCAACAGCAGCAATAGAAACAGTAACAATGGAGACGACATAGAACAAGAAGGGGAAAATAAAGATATAATCAAGATATTTATTTTCCACACTACCCTAAACAAAAGGTTTGGAAGGAAACGCCTATCAGTACCCGAAAGAGCGATAACAGTGGACTTGAGAAATCTAATTTCCTGAAAAGCTGTTTTAAGACAAAAATTTTATCAATTTTAACCAACGGTCAATGAATGTGCTGTCAATGGATGTGATGGTCAATGAATTCTGAATGTTTCCTGTATGGAAACACATAATTTCACTATTCTTCTTGTTTTATGTGTCGTGTACCTTCAGGACGTGACCGATCACAATTTTCTATTCTTCTTAGCTCTTCGCAATGTTTGTCTTTTTACTGTTCCTCCCATTCTCTGTTTTGCCATCTATTTGCACAAATTCGATAGATATTTATCTCGCTGTTTCCGTGTGCTTTTGCCATGAATATGTTCTGTGGGTGACAAAGCATTAAACCCTTTTCTCTATTTCCTAGAAAATTTCATATCTCTGTCCTTTTTCTCATTATAAAAATAAATGTCAATTTGGTTTCCATTTTAAAAGTTTGTCTCGTTGAATATCACAATAATAATAATTAATAAAATAATAGTAGACTAATTGAAGAAAAGATTCTGGAAGTTCATGCCTCAAAGAGATACAAAAAAATTGTTCTGACAAGATCCATTAACAGCCCACACCTTACGAAGGGCTTTATCTATGTAATTTTTTTTTTTTTTGTCAGTGGAATGTCGTCTTTGGACAAACCTTAGGTCAAAGACTTCAACCCGGAAAAAATCGCCTCTCCAATAATTGCCAAAAAAAAAAAAAATAAAAATAATAATAATAATAGTGAAACAGCTTAATTTCAAATATGGCCAAATTTGAAGAAAAAACAACACATCTTCGTGTAATAAGTGTAGATCTCTGCTCACTTTTACAAAATGCTTAACTCCAGTCATGTTATGAAACCCTATTTCATGTACATTTGCAATATTTTTTTTTATAAACCCTTTGAAAATTCTTCAATCTAACAACTGTTCTTTCTTGCTTTCAGATCTTTCGAACTAGATAAAATCCGACGCCATAAGATGGAAGCAGCAGAAGACATTGAACGCTACAAGAAGGAGAAACTTCAGAGATTGCAAGCCAAAGAGGAAGAAAAGAAACGGGTTTGTCTATTAAATGCTGATATAATCATCCACTTTTCCGTTAATACGTTAAGATTCGTGATATCCATCTACACTCCCCCAAAATACATTGCTTCTAACCTTACAAACTACGGATCCATTAATAATTAGTACCGAATTATATATTAATTTTATATGCAAGTGTCTGTTGTCCAAATGCGAATGGATGCATTAATTGTTATATAATATACAATATGATGAAGCCAATAGTAGCTATTTACAAATCCAGCGTGTAATTTTAATGTAAATTTAATGTAATTTTAATGTAAAATTAATGTAATTTGATATAATTTTAATATAAATTTAATGTAATTTTAAAGTAAATTTAATTAATGGAATTTCATTCAACATTATTTATATTACTATGAATTTTATTTAAATAGAAACCGGTATCTCCTTTCTTTTCTTAATAAGGAAATTAATATATCTAATGGCGGAATTGACAGAAAGACATTAAAATCTTTTATGCGCCGTGTCCCTTCAGGATTTAGGCGATCATGGTCCTCCACATCTTTGTATTCATTTTCTCTAAAACCTCGTCGTTGCTCACATCTTCGTTTCATGGTATCCTCAGCACCCTTCTGTAGAACCACATTTTTGTTTCTTCAAGTCTCTTCCTCATCTTTGATGAGGTTGTCCAGCATTTGCTACCATGTAGGCGACCATATATCCCGTAATAGTTCAGTACTCTTTTCTTTGTTTCTAACGAAGTTTTTCTGTCTCTTAATACTCTGCTTAGCTTTTGGAATGCATCTTTGGCCATCCCAAAACGTCTTCGGATCTCAGTGTCGCATTTTTCGTCCTCTGTTAAAACACTTCCCAGATATTAAAATATTTGTACTTGTTTGATTTTAGTATCCCCAATTTTTAATTTTCATTTTGGCCTCATCCTTTGAATTCTGTCTTCTGCAATTCGTTTATGCTGTCAAACCACCTTAGTTAGACGTACTTTAACCTTTCGGCCAAACACGGATATTCTCTACAGGAAAACAAGGCTCAGTTACTCATCATGAAATGCACATACCTCGTTAGGAAAGCTCGCGATTTTCCAGGATAAAAGGAATGAATTTTCGATCTTTGCTGAGAGGTAAATTTTCATTTTTCTCTGTGAGAAAGCGTTTTTAGAGTGGAAAATAATCTGTCGCCCACAATGACGTGGAGACGCTTTTGAAAGTGAGGACTGGGCAGCTCTTACTCAAATATGGATGCATCATTCCATTTTATGCCTTATCTGGCTCTTTTAAAAGTAGAGGATAGATAGTTCGAGGAGCCAGTTTCTTACTGGAGTGGTATAGGAAACCGACTATTTTTCCAGTATCTTTAGCGATGGATCGTACGAATTCTACTCGAGGTCTGGGTTGTGTTTAAAGCCTAATAGTCGCTCAAGTCATGGGTTCTCCCTGAGGGAACATCCATTCATCGTATTTGGTGATAGTTCGATGGAATGTAAATAATTTGCTTTTCAATGCATTGAATGTAACCAGCCTGTTTTTACTCGACTGAGATGTTAGAGCTAAATCAGAGTAGAGATCAGTTGCCAAGCTCTACCATTCATTCTCAATTTAGGGTAAATTTACAAAAGTAATTGATTTATCAAGGTGGATCAAAGATTTTGTACGCCAAAGTGTAACATTACTTCACTGTTTGAAATTGAGCACTGAGGTTAGTAAACTTAAAAATGGACAATATTAATATCATTATTCCATTTCCCACTGCGGAATGGTTCACGTGTAGTTTGGTTTGGTTTATTTTGTTTTACGGCATATCAACCTCAATGGGTTATTTAATGCCGACAAGATTTTTAGGATGGATTCGTATGAAGAGAATAAGTATTTGTAAGAAATCAGTTTATAGATCAGTTTTCATTGATGTATTTTTGTAAAGTGGATTTTTGTCGAGAGTCAAATGTATTGCTGGTATTTTTTTTCTTTAAAAATGTATTGGTGGTATTTTTACTATAAAAATGTATTTTGATACTTTCATAGTGTTTTAACCTCAATTTGGGGGTTTAACTATTTGCCCATAGTTGGGACCTTAACAGGTGCTACCACTCCGGTTACGGTGGACCTTGAAACAAGCGCAATTAAGAGGTGGTTCCACGCTCCTCAAAAGCTCCCGATCAGAGGCTTTGCTGCCGGATGTAGTTTATCGTCATACCCAGGACGCTGGTTTGGCGTGACCAAGTGGTGATAATTCTGAATTTTCAAGTGGTAGGTTATTTGTATGATATTATGTATAAATGTATATAAAAAATTTCATATTTGGGTAAGAGCTGCCCAGTCCTCAGTTTCCAGTCTTGATAGAGTCCAAAAGCGTCTCCACGTCCTTGTGGGTGACAGATTATTTTTCCACTCTATAAACCCTTTCTTCCAGAGGAAACGTCACGAGCCTCTCGCTTTTCTATCGCTATTTCCATGGAAAATGCTCAGATGGACTACATCCCTTAGTTCCACCAATTCTAACGTTCACGTCTAAGACCCTCCCTACCCCACACGTTGTAGCGAACCACCCTTATTGCCTTCGTATTACATGGGTGAAATGATTCTGCTCCAGTCGAACCACTTCTCTGTGAAACCGACTCCCAAGAGGATATTTTCCTGATAACTACAATCATAACCTGTTCGCGTCTAGGTTTAACCGTTATCTTCCTCATATATCTATTTAAATTGTGCCTCTTGAGTGGATGATAAGCCTTGTAACCTCACTGTAAAATAAAAGTATGTTTTTCTAAGTACACATTATATTCTTTGAGGGCCATAAAATAAGTCACAGCATTTTCGTTAATGCTGTATAGTGGAGGATGAAGCATCTTAAATATAATGATGCTGAAAATAGCCATGTAAAAATATTGGGCCACTAATGAAAATTTCATTTTCATCTCTTTTCTTAAGTTAAAAATGACTTTTTTGCAAGAGGTAATCTTAAAGAATGTACAAAACAGACAGTATGGAGTTAGTAATTATTGCTATTACCTTTGGCTTGAATAATTGTCTCAATTCCATCTGGCATTGAATGGGGTAAGGTTCAAATATTCTCATTGGGAATATTTTCCTATTCTACTTTATTCTAAAACTCTTGAAGATTTCGTGGTTTTGGTTGGAGCACTAGTTTTTTTCACTTCCCATCACACTGGTTCAATTATATTGATTTTGTGCAGGTCATCCTTCCAAAAACTGAACATCTTCATCCACAAGAATCGTTTCTGTTGCATGTGAGGTGTGACAAGGGCCACCGTCATACTGAAAAATTTCTACATTTTCCTAATCTGACAACAGATTAGACCGTATTAAACTAATATCGCTTTCTCTGTTTAGGTTTGGTTTGGTTTGTTTTACGACATATCAACCTCAATGGGTTATTTAATGCCGATAAGATTTTTATTGCTAGGAATATTTTTTTTCAAAAATGTATTGCTGGTAAAAAAAATTTCAAAAAAGTATTTCTTGTATTAAAACCTATTTTTATACTTTCATAGTGTTTTGACCCCTTTTGGAGGGTTAACTATTTGCGAATAGCTGGGACCCTGACAGATGCTACCACCCCGGATCAGGGTGAACCTAGGAACACCAGGAATTAAGAGTTAGTTCCACGCTCCTCAAAGCCTCCTGATCAGAGGCCTTGTTGCCGGATGTAGTTTATCGTCTTATCCAGGACGCGGATGTAGTTTATCGTCTTACCCAGGACGCGGATGTAGTTTATCGCCTTACCCAGGACGTGGATGTAGTTTATCGTCTTACCCAGGACGCGGATGTAGTTTATCGTCTTACCCAGGACGCGGATGTAGTTTATCGCCTTACTCAGGACGCGGATGTAGTTTATCGTCTTACCCAGGACACTCTCTATAAGCATCCATCAACTTTTACCATTTTTCTTCTGCCATCAGTTTTGATGCAACCCCACACCATTACGTGTCCACCACTAGATTCTACCGTCTTTGTGGTGTATATTGCATTGCTTGTTTTTCCCACTGGTCTTTTTTAGCATTAGAATGTAACTCTATTTTGCATTCGTCACTAAAAAATATTTTTTGCATTTTCCAGCCTCCTATATTAGGTGTTCTTTGGACCACTTCAATATTCTCTTCTGATGATTTTTAGTTAACGATGTGTTTTTACGGGTATGCACCCATTCAGGGTGTTTTTGTAATACTCTGCGTACTGTATCAAGTAAAACCTCACTGTTAAGACTTCATTCAATCCTCACTGTTAAGACTTCATTCAATCCTCACTGTTAATACTTCATTCAATCCTCACTTGTTTGACTGCTAATTAAAGATTACCTAACGAGCCTCATACAATCTTTTTTTCATCTCTCTTGTCTAACATTTGCGGTCTTCCCATTTTCTTTACATTTAAAAAACACTTCCAGTATTTCTTTTGGGAGGTTTGAAAAACTGTTTCTGGAAATTCCCAGCCGCCATGCGATCGCACGCCGAGTCACCTTCCCCCTTCATAGTCACAACCTACGTCGTTGTTTCCGCAAAACTTTTAGCCATGATTTTAGTGTAAAAAACCAATGTTCAACGCCAGTGTATAGTGCCTTACCATGCACTTTACACTCATGTTAATAGGATGGAATAATCCCTACCTAGAAATTTACATATTATTATGATTTTATCATCTCAGCTTTTTCATTGGCTCAGTAGTTTTGGATAGCCATTTTTTTTTTAATGCAGCGAAGACGAAAACGCAACCGTTTATTTTCCAATCATCAATGTCCACAAAAACACGACTGATAAAAGCATATTGCTAAAATGTCTTTGTAATGAAAGAAAACTGTATAATAATTTTATATAGTTGGTCTAAAACTTTTATAGACCAATGTGTTTGAGAAATGTTTAAGTTGGTTGTATTTTTAACCAAAAATACATCTACTTTTATCCAGCTTCGGGAGTTAATAGCAAAAAATACAGGACCAGCCGGAAACATAAAAAATAACTCGAAAAAAGCTTGAAAAAATGTTGGAAAATGATATTTAATGCTATAAATTTATTTCATAAAAATTTTTCTTCATTCTTTTTCAATAATTTACGTATTCAATGATCTGCAATTTCGAATTATCCGAACATAATTATTGAACCCTTGTACCGAGGTCTACGAATAATAATAATAATAATAATAAAAGGTTTTACTGTATTTGCCAACATGCTTTCAAAAATATGATGTTCTTAAACTGCATAGAAATGTAGTTTAAATATGGGGAAAGGGTTACAAAATGTAATAAAATTTCTTAAACTTTTCATTCCTGCAGGATCTTCAAATGCTGACTGATTATTATCCATGGGGAAGATCTCTTGGAAATTTTGAAAGGGTAAGTTGATTTTAATTCCGAATCTCAATCGAGTCGTTCCAGAACATTAAACATGGACAAGATAATCATAAGGTATATATATTAACTGATTATATATATATATATATATATATATATATATATTTAATGTAGAGAAGACAATATTTATGAATAAAAATGACAATAGGAAAATTAATTTGACGTTTACTTTATCCAAAAATACGAAAATGAAATTAAATTTCGTAATAATAAAAACAAAAACATAATGTATATATATATATATATATATTTTATATATATGAAAATATATATATTGTCACGTGTGTGGAGAATATTGTCATTATATCTGTGTTTTAAAATTTTCTTATGATTTTATGAATCTGTTACATATTTGTTTGTAACATTAATTTTGTTAAGAAAAAATGAAAAAACCTGGGCGTAAATTAATATTTGGATAATTTTCTATGGCGGCACAGAATTTTCCTTTTGAGTTATTTTCTTTTTTTAAATTAGCATTTTTTAAAATCAAAATTATGGTTGTATTTATTTTCATCTATTGCATTAGCTAAGTTGTTTTTTGTGAGGTCTCTTTTGTGCTCATAAATGCGTTTTTTAAATTTCTACTTGTTTTCCAATATATTGGGAGGACACAGTTTTGGCAATTTATTTTATAAATCAAAAATATAGTGCTATTATTGTTTGAAGATCTTAGTTATCTATAATGGTTACAGAGGTGTTTAAATTTCAAGATTATTTAGATGGGATAGGTTATTCTGGAAATAACAGAATTAAATTATGTATCTGTTTTCATGTTTTTACTATTGCGGATTGTGTTATTAGTTTTGTTTCGTTTAAAAAATATGCCTTTTAAAACATGTGGAAAAAATAAAAAGGTTTTTGAATGTGTTTTCTATGTATGTTTCTTCTTTAAAAAAAAACAAAACAAATAGATAGAAACCTAATAAGACAGATTTAATTTTTGAAGGGTGGTTTCTCCATCATTTTGTTTCATTTCTGTCAAAATTGAGTTCGTTGTTATTTCTAATTAACAAAATGTCCAGGAACGGAAAGTGTATTTTTTCAGTTTCCTGTTTATTGTAGGTTCAATGCCATCCGTTAAATTGGCCGAAAGTCGTCTATGTATCTGAAAAGAAATTTGTAGGGAAAATAACTTTAATAAAAAAACATGAAAGAATATTAATCATTGGCAAAACCAAACCAATATTCCTTGGAAGATTGGCACAGTTTTTAATTTTTTTTTATTTATATTTATTTTTATTTGTTATTTATATATATATATATATATATATATATATAAATATATATTTAATTTTTTAAAAAAATTTTTAAATGATGGATACAAATAGAAAAAAAAATGGCTATTTTATAGCGCTGCCTATCCCTGATATGAATCTTTTGCCGTTAACAATAAAATAATATTTTTTGGGAAAAAAAATCCAGATTTTTTAGTAGTTTTTTTAATGTTGCATTCAACGGATAGCTATGTTTTCATTGAAAAATACATCATCATTAATACCCCTCACCAAAACGTAACTTATTTTTAACGGATACAATAATACAGACTAATTCTTTAATGAATCTTCCAGACGGTGTCATTCCTTGTCCAGTTGTAAAAAGTAGATTTTAATCTGTAACCTTGGAAATTTGAATTAGGATTTTAGCTGAGTCTTTAAAACCCAGTAATTTTAAAAAGTTACTCCAAAATTCGTTTGAGGATGAAATGGAACTAATGTCTTTAATTTAATTACAAAATTAAATTCGTAGCTTTTAGCTTCCATTTTTGAAACATGGTTAGAACTGTGTAGCGAAAAAAAAACATATTTTAAATAAATCAATTTATAATATTAATGCTCTGTAAATTTACATTGAGCACTATTTTGTAAAAATAAAAATATCTATAAGGACCCCGGATTATATATCTTACTTTTTTTTTTTTCATTTTTATTTATACATATATATATATATATATATATATATATATATATATATATACAAATATAGACACACAAATATACATATATACAATCGCACATGCACAGACACTCACACACGTATACACACACACGCACATATATGTATATATATATATATATATATATATTGATAATATTAGTGGTGAATATACAATACATATATTTCCAAGAGGATAAAATCTAGGTAGAGCGCTGTCTACAAGACAGAGCAAGAATATAATATAAAAGGCTCAAACACTAATATTCCATGGTTATAATTTATTACACTGAAATTGTAATCACGATACAATTCATCAGAATTCATTGAATTTCTAGGTCTGGTGAATTGGATCGTGATTTTGATTCAATTATAATATATATATATATATATATATATATATATATATATATATTCAGTGGGAAATGTGCCTGTGTCCTCTTGCATTATAATGTAACTCTATTTTGCACTAATCAGTAAAAATTGTATTTTCCCACTTTTCCAGCATCCCATGTTAGATGTTCTTTTGACCACTTCAATCTTCTATTAAGATGAAGTATTTTATTGTAATTTTCTAATTTACGAATAGGAGCAAAATTGTAGATATTTGGCCAATTTCACGTTTTTGCTTTGTTTTTCTTCGCGTAAATATCATCAACATGCCCCATACAAGCTCAATGTCGTTTAAATCTGGTGAATACACAGAAAAATGACGTGCATTGTAATCAACCAGTTTCATATCGCCTGCGCATCGTTGCGGTTGCATTACTTTTCTAGAAAAAAACCATCAAAACCAAGAAACATGGTTAGTACGAAAGGAGTACGAATAGACTAACAAAATCTGTATATGTCACGGTTGAAACACCAGTTTTTGTACAATCACCGAAGTTAAGCAACGTCGAGACTGGTCAGTACCTAAATGAAGCTGTAAGCTCGGAAGTGCGGATGGTGTAATTAATAACGGCTTGGGTTCATTATGTTTACTTGCACGCAAATATCCATGGGAAAGGTAAGGATCCACCTTTTCACCCCCAGCTATGAGTTGATTAGTAAGGCTTGTATCAGTAAATCATTATGATTTCCCCCAAATTCTTGCAATCTAATCTTACTGTCTAAAAATATTTTTTGCCTTTAAATAACCTACAAAAAATTGATAAGCCATAAAAATAAATCAACCAATCAAAAATATGTATATGCCACACTTGACAAACTCTATTTTCCTTCGAAGAGAACATAACATTCACCATTACAAAGTTGCCACCAGTTTACTGGTGACAACTTTGTAATGGTGAATGTGAAAACTCTGTGAATGATGAACACTCTGCTGACAGAATAGATATATAACATTCTGAGGTGTCCTTCTCACACGAACTCGACCATCTATAAGAAAAAGGTGAAAACATGACTCATTTGACCAGACGATATGATGGTCCAATGGTGACGTTCTCTGGCCCAGGTAAGGCGCCAGTCTTCCACGATTAAATAGCAATATTCTTTAAGGCCGGGTAAGGCGCCAGTCTTACACAATCCAATACCAATGTTCTTTAAGGCCGGGTAAGGCGCCAGTCTTACACAATCCAATACCAATGTTCTTTAAGGCCGGGTAAGGCACCAGTCTTATACGGTCCAATAGCAATGTTCTTTGGGCCGGGTAAGGCACCAGTTTTATACGGTCCAATAGCAATGTTCTTTGGGCCGGGTAAGGCGCCAGTCTTATACGGTCTAATAGCAATGTTCTTTAAGGCCGGGTAAGGCGCCAGTCTTATATGGTCCAATAGCAATGTTCTTTGGGCCGGGTAAGGCGCCAGTCTTATACGGTCCAATAGCAATGTTCTTTGGCCGGGTAAGGCGCCAGTCTTATACGGTCCAATAGCAATGTTCTTTGGGCCGGGTAAGGCGCCAGTCTTATATGGTCCAATAGCAATGTTCTTTGGGCCGGGTAAGGCGCCAGTCTTATACGGTCCAATAGCAATGTTCTTTAAGGCCGGGTAAGGCGCTAGTCTTCCATCTACTATATTACTCTGCTCTCTTTTATTTTAATCTATAGTCTTTCCTCTATCTGATTATAAATACACCCTTATTTACATATATCATTCTACTCTCTTCCAGCTGTGTTGGTGTGGGGGCAATATTTAGTTCAGTGGGGATTATTCTAAGATTTATTCAAACAGTGAATGCAACAGACTAGCCTGGAATTTGAACAAGATTCGTCGAGTCTACTTTCCACGCCGATACTCGTTACTTTACCACACACCCTCCTCTAAAACATCATGACAGGCTTGATCCTTACTGCACATTTGCATTTGCACTCAAATTGGCCTTTTAGCAACAAACACCTACTTGCTCAAACTTGATTAAGAACACAACAAAATTAACCAAATGATTGGGTAACTAATGTTTTTGCGCCAAGAGATTTAACACATTTCCGTCTTTCTTAGCGAAATTTATCAACTATCGTTAGTCCGAAATTGATTTACTATGTAGCAGAATTTGTTATCTTATTATCCAAGCTATACTTAATTCTTACTAAGAAGGGAGGCTTTAGGATAATCCATGATACACCTTCCTTCTCCTGTAGGTTAAAATGTCCTTCTAAACAGAATAACGTTTAAAAACCTGTGCTACATTCTTCTTTAACATGTTACTCTATTTTGCCAAATACAAGTACCGTCTGAAATAATCATGCCGGTGGGAGGTTTTTCAACTTATAAGGGTGCCGGTTTAAATAAACTCTCCACATGGAATTTTTTTAACTCAACTTGATATCTATGCTAATGACACAACCATTTACCCCTGTCTCGATATTACGTGATGAGTTCCATAACGTCATATTACCAAATGATCTCAAACATGACCTTTAGTTGTTAACTGGGACAAGGAATGGCTTGTTAATTTTAACCCCTCCAAAACGAATCTTCTCTCTATCAACCACCTGAAAGACCTCTTGCTGCCTTCCATCAGAATGGCTGATGCTAACCTCCAGCAGAGTGACTCATTGCGTCTTCTTGAACTTACATTCTCGACTGATATTATATTGAATCGATTACTAT